ACTTACTGCCCTTGTCTTTTGATTGATATTTGTAGCTCGGTCTCCGTCCTGCAAATTATTTCTCCCATTTTCCTTGCTTATTCTTTAACTTGACATAACTAGTAATCTAATAAGTAGGTACATACCATAGAAATAATATAGAAGACCAATATAAATATAACATCCAAGCAGAAATTGAAACCTACTGTGCATAAAAACGCGTCTCTGCGCCTGACATCTCAAAATAGTGTGTCTAGAAGCTTGCGCAGTATGCATGACTTGTCCCTGTAGTGTTGCCAAGTATATTAAACATACCTAACACAAAATAATTTTAAATTAATTTATTTTTAAATTACATGATTTAATCAGTTTATATCTACGAAATATCGCCCCAAAATAATTTATAAACATTTAAATAATCAACTATAATAGTAGTAATATTTATGTGTAATTACATTCCCAAAAATATATACAAATACGGTATTAATGTACAACAAGCGATTCACCTACAAATTCAATATTGACCTGGCAACACCACTTTAATCCGGTGTTTCAAGGCTCTATGACGGTGCCGTTACAGGACCGTTTGTGATATTTTGGCTTCAATTTGTATTTTATTATTTAATTACACGACATTTTATTTTTAGTTTCGTGTAGTGTTAAGTTAAATCCTAGGTACAATAAAAGACATTTTTACATTGGCTAATGAAAATGTAATCAATGTATTTAGCAGCTGTTATATTTATTACAAGATTAATGTCTAGAAATTCAAACCTACCTAAGAATTATAATTATGTAAATAGAGAGCTGTATATTTATATAGGCTGTCCAGCGACGGGAAGACGTTATCGGTATCTGACAAAATAATGAATGATTTTTTGTTAAAAATAGTAAACAGGCTATGATCTTTCCATCTAAAATATTTTGATAGTTCTGTTATTTCCTTTTTATTTTAAATGAGATGCCACTTCTATTATTCCTGATAGCGATGGAACATGAAATGTTGCTTATTTGGAATATATACCTTTACACAACGCTCATGACGTCAGAGACAGTTTCAGTCGGGTATAATTTAAAATAAAGAATTTTAAAACGAATCGTATTAATTTGTACCTGTACCTAACATTTATGGCATCACTAGCTGAGTTGGCATCGGGTATATTTTCAAATGTAGAAACTGAAAATTAACCTTATTAAATTGTATACTTTTAAATGCGGGTTTCAAGGCATTTTAAAATATAAACTCGATCTCAACGAACTTAGAAACTTCTGTCACTCGATATTTTAATCGTTACTTCCTCTTCGCTTTTTGGCCGGCACAACAATTATTTACATTTCTTCATTCTTTACCGCGTGCGAACCAGTACGGTTTAAAGAAATTTTAAAAAACCTACTTTAAAAATGAAGATGTTAATGATTTTCTCATGGATCCCATCTTCAGATCCTGACTTAATTTATGTAGTATTATTCATTTTCTAACAAAAAAAGAATCATAGAAACCGGGCAACGTAGTAAAGAATTATCGCTCAACATACATAAAAAAATATTTCAACGAATTGAGAATATCCTCCCATTTTAAAGTATGTTAAAAAAAATTGTTAATAAAGTGCAAAGTAGGGTGATAATATATATTATGAAGAATCTAAAATGATAGATAAAGCCAGTGTAGAAAGTATTATAAATAAACTGTGGAAATATCGAGAATCTCGATTTTGAATCGGAGGAAGAATATTCTATGCAATTTAGAATGAAAAATGATCAAAATGAAACAAATGAACGACATGCTAATGTTATTGACAACTTTCTTCAAACATTTTCTAGTTTTCCGAAAACTAACTGGATAGTTCGAAAATCATTTCCGCCGTTAAAGCGCCTCTTGTTCCGAAAAAGATACACGCCTGTCAACATTCATCGTTCAACAAAAAAAGTATTAGATACAAAACGCTTCGTATTGTAAGGCCAAAATATATTTGGAAATCAAAAAAGTCATATAAACAAAAAAATCATAGTGAGATAACTACCAAATTAATGATTTACAAGTTTATTCTTATTATCTATAAAATAGGTTTGCAATGTGCTGATGTGGAATGTTATCATCGACTAAAAACTTTAAATCTTTGTATTAAATTGATCGAAAACAATCCATAAATTGGTTTAGACTATACAGAATGTTTCTAATAAGCAGCGACTAACTTTTATTATGAAAACGAAAGACCCTTTTAAAAGGGTTTAAAATTAAAATAAAATATGTACCAAGTACCAAGTAAATGTAGTAGTATTTTTTAATTTTGAATCTTGAGAGATGCAGACATATTTGGATACTTTATATTGAAAATGGTAACATGAAAGGTTTTTTGTCTAATTGTAAGTAACGACTCACAGTCTTGGCTGACAAAATATAAAAAAATATCGAACATAATATTCCTGGGCGAAACGCACCTGCCCCCTATTTTGCACTTGTCAAATTAAATTTACTTGTAGCAAATGATACTAAATCAAATAAGATCTCGTGACTGCAGCACTAATGATTTCTGTAAATTAACCAATTCATTTTTCATGCCATATTTTTCTTTCAAAAACATATTTATCCTACTTGAATTTTTTTCATCGTTTTTTATATAGAAGCATCTCTAAAAATGTATGAAGAAAACATGGTTTGAACTATTTGTTCGATCAATAAAAAACTTGCACCGGTCCTGTTCGAGCCAGCACCGTTATACGCATGAGCTCCGACACACTATTTTCTCCTTAGGGTTTCAGTTTTGATATATGGAATCGGCTTTCTATACTATTTCTATGGTACATACTGAATAATAAGGTTGTTATAAAAATATTGATTCAGGAATTCTGATAGGCAAAAAGTTGGAACGATTGGAAGTTTACTGTCAAAAATAGGTGTTGTAGCTTGAAATATGGGCACGCGCCATTTGAATACTCTATATTTAATTAAAAAGTTAAAATCTGTAAATTTTCATCTTCGAAATTATTTATTTAGATGCCTTATTAAACAGTATTTTTTATCAATCTTCGTTAATTAAAATCATTAAATGTATTTGAATTTTATTTTTTTAAAGTTATTATTTAAAGTTGCAGAAACTAAAAATATGCCACTTTGTAGTTAGTTTCATCAAATAAGTGGCAGCTGGAACTAATCCAAAATATTTTGCACCACTTCAAAGTGGCGGTTACGTGGCAGCCAACTAGTGTTTGTCACCATAAAGTTAATTATTTACATTGTTGCCAGATCTGCCATTTCTCCACTTATTTCAGAGTTTTTGAGTTGTTCAATAAGGCCAATGTCAGGGGGAAAATCAAATTTACCTTAAATTACAAATATGTCATCCATCAACCTAGATCAAGGTAATATAAATTTAAAGCAATTTTAATCTTGAATAGCGTAAAGCGGCTTAATGAAATATTAAAGTATAATATATGTGGAATTGCCATAGTAAAAAATATATAGGGTTCCCATTTTAATTCACAAAGTTGATACTTGTTAGTTACCTTCTGGTTACCGTTTGTTTATCTTAATAGTAATTTCTAGTAAAGCCTTATATAACTTATGTATTTAACAATTTATTTTATCTCTTTTAATAAACGTTTTAAGTGCCGTTCTAAAAATAACTGTACAAATATAGTGTACATTCAAGAAGATTATGGGAAAAATTTGTATACTATATCTTCTCAAGGAAATTGCGCTCTGATGATATCGCAACATTGTATTAAATGTATTATTCCATTATAACCTCAACATTTACAGTAGATTTCGCCGGTTAAATTTGTTTATGTCACAGATCAACTTGTACTGACGAAGAAAACAACGCTTGAGAATTTTTACATTTTTTCTGTTCCGACAACAGCTGCTTGTTCACTACAGAGTAATAATGTTTAACGAGTTTCGGTACAATTCATTTGTTGTTTAAGTTGTCTATAAAAAGTTGTCGAATGTCGATAAGTAATCTTTTTGCGAGGCTTCTTGTTGTTTCCCATTTTACACACAAATGCACTCTAGATAAGCCTAAAAACAAAGTAATTTGCGCACAGATCGACGACACTTTGGTAGTTTTTTCTTTATTGTAAAGGCGGACAATGTAGAACGCAGGCCACTAATAGGCAACGGTTACTTCATTCTGAATTTTGAAGGTAATAGTAACTTTAAAGTGGCTTTTGTTCCAGGCAATATGTGGAAATCACTTAAGTGCGTGACAAAAGAGGGGCAAGAACTACTGTAGTTATATAATCAAGTGCCGCCACTTTAAAGATATATTTATGGTTCCCGAAAGGTTACTAAAACTATCAAACCCACTTTAAGATTACTGCCACTTCTAGGTGGTATTTAAGTGATATGATTTGGTGACCGTAACTACTATTTTCCACATTCAAGTTTGTGCAACTTTAAAGTGGTCCCGCATAGTGGCTATAACGTTTTAAACACCTTCAGATGCAACTAAATAATATAAAACTTTGAAGTGATTCCCAGTGGTGAAATACACGTGGCTACGACTGGGAAAATATAAAATGAAGTCATTTTCAGTATATAGAGGTAGATTTAGTGATTATAACGTAATAGTCACCTAATCGAAGTGGCGATATAGGTGCGTTTCTGTCACTATTATGCTACTTGGGAGTGATGTTATCGGAAAAACTGCCAATCTGTCAAAAATGTATATAACAAACTGGCATTGGAATGTCCATGTTTAGAGAAAATTAGACGTTTTTATTAGGAGCGGACGATCAAAATAACTAATCGATTATTTTCTATTAATCGAATATAATCGATTGATCGAACATAATCCATTAATCGAAAATAAACAGTTATCGGTTAATCAAAAATAATCGTTTAATCGATTTTTCAAAAAAATTTAATCGATTAATAAGTGCTTATTTTGCCTGGTTTCTAGTTGATACAATTAATATGAATAAAGAATTAAATATTTTCTTTACAATATTGGAACTTTTATTAACTATATCATTTTCTACTGTTAATAATTTTTCAACTTATTTTTTTATATCTTTCGTAGACATAAGCATGGAGCGATTCACAGACGAGACAGACATTCTTATAGTAGGAGGAGGACCAGCAGGTATGAGTGCTGCTATTCGTGCAAAGCAACTTGCTGAAAAAGATGGAAAGGAGCTTAGAGTTTGCTTAGTCGAGAAAGCTTCTGAAATTGGTGGCCATATTCTTTCTGGAGCAGTGATACAACCGGAAGCATTAGATGAATTAATACCTGATTGGAAAGAAAAGGGAGCACCACTAAAAACTCCTGTAACCGAAGATTCGTTTGGTTTCTTAACGGCTAATAGAAGATTTAATATACCAATTTTCAAAGGTACATATTATTTTACTAAGTTGTTTTCTATGTATTATAAATTAATATAAGGTAGCGCTGGAGAGGATGCTATTACGGTACAAAGTCTATCAGAGTAATATTTATATGAGATAACAAGTTCCAAATCCTGTGGTTTGGAGATAAATTCCATAATTTATTTTAAATGATCTTAATTTTAATCTTAGTTTTAATTCGTCTATAACGATGTTCCAATAACACCGCTAATGATACGCCCATGGTTTCAACCAGTAGAGTTTTTACAGAGATCTGGGTAGCTATTCTTGAATTCGAGGGAATAGAAAACCGGTTTTTCCTCTTTATCGGCAACGCACAAACTTTGTATTTTTATCTCATTCTTCCCTCAAAATTTTTACTCCCTGAGATTCAAGAATAGATACCCTGGTGGATATATAAAGCAGACCGAGAAGCCCAGTGACTTGGTAGACTTCGTAATCCCATCGGCAAGGTTCTGACTTGTCGATAATCCTTGTCCTCATTTGCCAGGGTATTGACCTACCCGGTGCGAAAGGTACCCTCTTGTATCTTCCGACTTAGGGATACTTCGTCCCCTGGACAGATGCGCATACGGACAAAACCGCACACGGAAAACCTCACGGGTATAAAACTACACATGGAAAAAAGCGCAAAAGTTGCTTTTTTATTCAATAATTTTTTTGAATTATCTTCGAATAAATAATTTTAATAAAATATTGCAGTTTACTTAATTTACGGTGGAATTTATGTTTGTATTATTATATTTTTTAGGATTGTTTTTCTTTCGGTGACACACTAAAAACTCTGGATGGCGTCCAGGCGTCCATTGGTTTTTCCTTTCTAAACGAAAACTTATTAGGTCGATCAGATGTATTAAAATTAAAATGTCTACCTCTTGAACCTATACTACGTTCTGAAAATTACTGCACTCTTTTCTTCTCATAGTGATCCACTCAACATTTTGAAATGTGCTCCTATACTAGTCACCTGACAGTTCCTATCTTCCCCTCTCCATATTTATGTGTGGACCTCATGTCCACCATTTTTCTTATTGACATTTTTTTAATACCTTACAATACGGAAGATTGGTACTCTTTGTAGGGCTGCCGATGAGCAATCATGGTAACTACATAGTACGTTTAGGACATGTAGTCAAATGGCTTGGAGAGCAAGCAGAAGCATTAGGCGTTGAAACTTACCCAGGCTATGCGGCATCTGAAATATTATTTCACCCGGATGGTAGTGTTAAAGGAATAGCAACAAACGATGTTGGAATAGCCAAAGATGGCAGCCCTAAAGACACTTTTGAGAGAGGCATGGAACTACATGCCAAATGTACAATTTTTGCAGAAGGTTGCCATGGACATTTATCTAAACAAATTATAAACAAATTCAATCTTAGAAGTAATGCTGAGTCTCAAACATATGGAATAGGTGAGTTTTTAATTTATTAAGAATTGAATGATACTAATATACGGCTCATGTTTATGAATAAGAAACTTTTTTTTTCAGTTCATAAGTATTAAAATAGGATCATATAATAGCTATATGTCTATGAACAGCTCAATTCCTATTCAAAGGAAATTTTGTTGACATTTTCAACAAATTTTCTTATAATTTATATAAAATTTTCTTCAAAATTTCATCGTTTAATGTATTTTTCATCATCTTTGCACAACATTTTCATCAAATTTAACGGCAAAGTATATTTTGTGGTACCTACATTTTCTTAAAATATCTAATAACATATTACAATTTAGGATTGAAAGAAATATGGGAAATAGATCCAGCGAAACATGTACCTGGTCGAGTTGAACACACATTTGGTTGGCCTCTGGACATCCATACTTACGGCGGTTCTTTTCTCTATCATTTAAATGAAAGTACCCCGCTTATTGCTGTAGGATTTGTAGTTGGATTAGATTACAGCAATCCTTATTTAAGTCCGTTCAGGGAATTTCAAAGATTTAAGCACCATCCATCAGTTAAACACTACTTCGAAGGCGGTAACAGAATCGCGTATGGTGCTCGAGCTTTAGTAGAAGGCGGATTCCAGAGTATACCGAAACTCACTTTCCCTGGAGGATGTTTAGTCGGAGATTCCGCAGGTTTTTATTATTTATTTCTAATGACAATTTTTTTTAGTTCCCGTTCATATTATTAGGCATTCCAAAAAAAGAATTGTTGGTGGGAAGGTTTAGTATTCTAAAGGGTTGCGACATATGATGTATTCTATCTTCAATACGTGAAAATCATGAATAATGGATTAAATTTAAATATTTTATGTCGGACACAATGAAAATATTAAAAAAAAACCGCCTAAATATTTTTCATAAATTGGCAGGCTTGTCGAATATTATTTCGAATAAAAAGTTCGTCCAAGATGGAAGGTTATATTGCAACTCCCTTAGATATTCGACTCATTGCCACTGGCAATATTATTTGACAGGTCGTCGGAATGCCTAATAGGCCTTTTCATCACATTTTTTTTGTGCGCATGCGTCAGTATCAACCATCTTTTTCGTACGGTTTTTTGTAAACAAGCATGTTAAAATACACACGTGGACAAAAGTTATATTCGATAAATATTAATTTAAGTATATTCATTTAAAAAAAAAGAAAGAAAAAATTAAGTAATAAGTGTCTAATTGAAAAATAAATGTTTGCAGTCAATTATAATTATGTTATCTGCACAGAAAGGAACAACAAAACGGTGTTGTTAAAGTATGTAAAAGTGACCCACGGTATAAATCATTCAAAAGCAATACATATTATTTTATAAATTTTCCAAAGTCTTGCTTGTAATATCGTAAAAACTTATCCAAATCATCAGGCAAAATACATATTAAAACATGTTCAAAATGTGCATTATGGGTGAACAAAGTGGTCGAAGTGACAAAGGTTTTCGATTGATGATGTTACTAAAGATAGATACTTATATTTGTTCACTACATTTTCATGGAGAAAGTGACCCAACAGACCCTTATCTGGTTTAACACAATTTTTTTTAAGTATTAAATACTACTTCGGTATACACAGTAATATGATTAAAAATGTCATGGTGATCCTCAAAATATGAAATAATTTGTTTTTAATTATACTTGTGATTATCTCTCATGTTAATTAAAATATTTTTGCTAGTACTAATACACTCACCGACTTAAAATTCGAACCATTCAAAATAATGATTTATTTAAAAATGCTCTAACTTTCAAATGCGGAGGCTGATTTATTTGAAGTTTTTAGCAACTTTTAGATAAAATACTGTAGTTTTAAGATTATTATTCCGACATCTAAAAGTAATTTAGTAGTACTCGCCGCATATACAGGGGAGAAGAGAAAACAATTTTTTCCTCTACTTTTGACACACCCTGTAAGTTAATTCTGCTAGTAGATATGCACACAATTTACTTTATCAAGAAGACTGATTTGTTTCCAACACTTTGTTTCTTTATTTACCTCGATATCTTAATTTGTTTGTGAAATGTGACGGTTTAAAGAAAATGCTACATTTTAGAAACGGTTATACACTTCCCCAATAAATTAACGCACCATCAAAAAATAACAAACAGTTTAAAGTAAATATTTGTCAAAACGACTTGTCTGATTTGGACGATTTTTTTTTTAAATGAAAGGTTGTCTCTTACACAACGTCGGTGTGCTGTGTTTGTATAAAACCCTCTTTTTTATTAATACAGGGTGTATCAATTATAACGTGATTTTTTCATAAAAGTTGTAACACCCTGTAGAGTGCAACAGTTACATTATCAAGTTAGAATTGATCTCACAATGTAGCCTTATCTATTCTTAACAATTTCTTTTCTTATTTACTCCATTATCTTTGTCATTATTTGAGAAACATTATTTTATAACATAACATGATTTTATTAAAAATTAATATCAATATTTAACAATGAAAACACGAAACAAAATGTAACGAAATAAGTGTCAGTAGCGAGTATTTCCGCCTCTGGCACGAATAACTTCTTGACAACGGTGGCCCATACTTAAAATAAGAGACCTTATGTCATTTTGGTCCAATTCTTCCCATATTTGAATCAGTATCTGCCGTATATCTTCCAGAGAGTTCAGATTACGTTCCTCTTGTAATCTCCTCCCAAGAGTATCCCAGAGATTTTCTATCGGATTTAAATCCGGGCTCCGAGCTGGCCATGCCATGGTAGCGATACCAACTTCCTCTAGATAATTTCTCACAACTCGAGCAACATGAGGCCTGGCATTATCTTGCATCAACAAAAATCCCTGCCCTATATATGGTGCAAATGGAACTACATGTTCGTCTAAAATCTCCAATATGTACCTGTCAGCTGTAAGGCTTCCATTTAAGATTACAAGTTCTGTGCGACCAGTCAAAGAAATGCCTCCCCAGACCATCAGAGATCCTCCTCCAAATAATGTTGTATGTGAGAAATTACACTGAGCATACCGTTCATTAGGGCGTCGGTATACGCGCATACGCCTGTCATTGTTATACAGGCAAAATCGAGACTCATCAGTAAATAATACCTGTTGCCATTCAGCTTCTAACCAGTTACGATGCTCTCTGGCAAAATTTAGCCTTGCTCTGCGATGAACTCTAGTTAGAACTGGACCTCGAGCAGCTATTCTATGCCTCAAATTATGTTCCCTTAGTCGCTGACGAACAGTTTCTGTACAAACTTCTAAACCATTAGTATCCCGAAGCTGGGTTTGAAGGGTCCGAGCTGTTACAAAACGTTGTCTTAAGGCTGACAGTCTTAAAAATCGATCCTGAATCGGAGTAGTTACTCGGTTTCTTCCCTGTCCCGGCCTACGACCATGATTTCCAGTCTCTCTATATCTTTGTATAACTCGTGAAACGGTTGTGTGGGTTACGTCAAATCGTTCACCAATTCTTCGGTAACTCCAACCCTCTTCAAACAATATTAAAACTTGAGCACATTCTTCGCAAGTAAGATTTCGTGGCATATTGTTTAATAATTTTTTTTGCAAAAAATGGCGAATGGACTAAATTCTGACAATACCCATCTGTATTTGACAATTACTGGTTTTTCCATAGCATGCTACTTACTTTAGTGCTTATAATGCTAATGCAAATGAATAAAGTAATGTTAAGTTATAAAATTGAGTTTCTCGTGTAATAGGAAACATAATGGAGTAAATAAAAAATGAAATTGTTAAGAAAAGATAAGGCTAAATTGTGATATCAATGCGAACTTGGTAATGTAACTATTGCGCTCTACAGGGTGTTACAACTTTTATGAAAAAATCACGGTATAATTGCTACACCCTGTATTAATAAAAAAGAGGATTTTATGCAAACACAGTTAGCAAACCGACGATGTGGAAGAGGCAACCTGTCATTTAAAAAAAAAATCGTCCAAAACAGACAAGTGGTTTTGACAAATATTTACTTTAAACTTTTTGTTATTTTTCGATGGTGTGTTAATTTATTGGGGAAGTGTAATTTAAATGACGGTAGAGAATAAACTACAAAATAAGTAGAGTGGTGTGGCCAACTCACAATATGACAACTGTCAAATATTCGTTACTTGGCAATTGCAGTTTAATTATCAGCATAACAAATATTCATTATCAGCATAACATCATGGTTTTAACGCCTACTGATGCAGCACGAGCAGTTGCTCTGGTACAAGACGGTAGGTCTCAGTATTATGCTTCTAGAATATTGTTACAAGGTATAGCGTCCAGAGAGCTGACCGTTTCAATGAAACTGGTAGTTTTTCGAGACGAAGAGGATCTGGCAGACGACGTTCTACAAATGTTCGAGATGATCGTTTTGTAACATTAAATGTTTTGGGAGAAAGAAATACTACTGCTGTCATGGCTCGAAATCGTTTAGAAGAAGTACGTCAAGTAGCTGTTAACGAAATAACGATTTAAAGGCAATTACGAGAACATGGATTACGCTCCAGAAGACCTGCAACTGGTCCGGAGTTACTTAGGAATCACAGAACAGCACGTCTTCGATTTGCCAGGGAGCATCAACATTGGAATGTCGATGACTGGAGTAAGATTTTATTTTCTGACGAGTCAAGATTTTGTTTACGTTCTCCTGATGGCCGTGAAAGAATATACCGAAGAAGAAGCGAGAGGTTTGACCAAGCAAATTTTTCCACAAGATTCTGTTATGGAGGAGGATCGGTAATAGTTTGGGGCGTCATAAACATGGAAGCTCGTACTGATTTAGTCATTGTTGGCGGCGGAGCAATGACAGCTAAACGATATATTCGTGATGTGCTAGATCCACATGTAATTTCATTTGCACCGTTTATAGGAAACGAATTCATGTTTATGCATGACAACGCTCGACCACATATTGCGAGGATTGTATCTCAATATTTGGACGAAACAGAAATTCAAAGAATGAACTGGCCATCACGTAGCCCAGACCTCAATCCAATTGAGCACGTCTGGGACATGATGGACAGACGAGTTTATAACCAAGTTCCTTCTGCAAGTAATTTAAATTTTTTGAGAGATGCTTTGGTCCAAGAATGGGATCAGATTGACCAGATGGAGATTCGACATCTAATAGACGCATTGAGACAGTTATTCGCGCTCGTGGGGGAAATACCCGTTATTAATTTGTAATAATTATTAGTTTATTTGTTGTTTGATTTGTTTATAAAATTATGTATTACTCTGCTAAAACTGAATAAAAAAATTAAAAATGTTTCATTTTCTTTAAACCGTCACATTTCGCAAACAAATTAAGCTATCGGGGTAAATAAAAGAACAAAATATTGGAAACAAATCAGTCTTCTTGATAAAGTTAATTGTGTGCAGATCTACTAATAGAATTAACCTACAGGGTGTGTCAAAAGTAGAGGAAAAAATTGTTTTCTTTTCCCCCCTGTATATCCGGCGAGTACTAAATTACTTTTGGATTTCCGAGTAATAATCTTAAAACTACAGTATTTTATCAAAAAGAAAAACTTGAAATAAATCAGCCTCCGCATTTGAAAGTTAGAGCATTTTTAAATAAATCATTATTTTGAATGGTTCGAATTTTAAGTCGGTGAGTGTAGTTGGTTGGCATAATTAATTAGAATAAAGTTATAATTATTCTTTGTTTTCATAATTT